ATATATATATATATATCTTCGATGGGTAGTCTTTTTAAAAAATTTAATTGACTACAAGGCTACAAAAATTTATAATCAATTAAAAGTATTAATTAAGAAAATAAAATAAAAAGTATTAAATTAGAATCAAATAATGTTTTAAATCTTGCCTCAATCTTTAATATCTTATGACTAAGTGATTAGGGTTGTTAAAACGACCCTTTGTTTGTGAACGGCTCGTGTTCGACTCGCTAAGAAAACGAGTCGAACACGAACACACTTTTTGAGCTTGAAATATAAACGAGCCGAACACAAGCTCAGCCTGGGCTCGCTCGTGTTCGGCTCGTTTACACCCCTGGCTAAAATACAGCTAAAGTTGGGCTTATGAATATTTCAAGCTATTTTTGTCGGGTGTGTTATTATATGAGTATGATAAACAAACAAAAATTATAATACATGTTCTATCAAAAATTGACAACATAAAAAAATTACAAAATGGGCGAACTCCATGTTCTATACGACACTTTGCAGCAGCTCCTAGTGAAGTTATTTGTGGAACAATAAGGCAGCCACGTGTCGCCACATGGGATGGTGACTAAAATTAATTTTGTCATTTTGTAATATTAAATTTTTAGAAAATTATATTTAAAAATTTGTCCTGTATGATAATAGAAAGATCTAAAGCGGGCTTCCATTGGGCACTCATCGTGATCTACAAAGATTTAAACAGATGCCACCTAATGTTTAGGTGCATATCTAACATCAGTTCAATTTTTACATGTACGATGTATTATATACACTTAAAAAATTGTATTTAACATTTTTATAGCTAACATATTAAAAGATTTGGGTGATATAAATATAATTAAAAAGATTTGACTCTCGAACGACCGTCGCTCATCATAGTCAAACCAGTATCCCTTTGTCGACGCCATCAAATCACCGTCACCTGGTCATCAACGTTATCATCATAAAACAAAACCATTGTCAGGCAACAGTCTGCAGACCAATGGCGTTGTTGTTGTCATCATCGTTTGGTTGTAGCAATCGGCAAACCATTGTCGCCCAATTGATACCTCCATTCCACAATTGTTGTCGTTCGACCAACTTTATCGTGCCAACACTGCAGTTGTAGTTACAAATGTGGGATCATTGCCATTCTCGCCGGATTACAATCTCTCGACCCCTACTATCATTAGACCATCATTGCATTTCCACCATAGAGCCACAATCACAACAACCAGTAGATGCCACTGCCATCACCATCGTTGCTTAACCGTTATCATAGCTACAGTCAAACGATCGTCGTCTAGTTGATGCCATTGTCACCATCAAACTCTTTTTGTTGAATGTTCACCTAGATATCGTTGCTACTGTTAGATCGCTATTGTCAACTCAATGTTGTTGTCAGTGATGTTGAATTCGAACCTCCATCATACAACCCCTGTTGTTGGTCTTCCATCATCGCAGTTCAGTAATTATCACTTTGCTAATATTTTTTGCCACTCCTCCAATGAAAGTCATTTCGATAATTTATATTCTTTTAATATTATTTTCAATTGTTTAAGGGCAGAAAGAGTCTTTATAACGTAAACCTGAAAAGGGGAATTATTTCAACGAGGCTATACCTTATGATTTTTTCCCTTACGAGTTTTCAATGTGAGAACCCTCGGTGTCTCCTTTGTCAACTCTTCCTTTATCTATATATGTGTTAAATTTTCATACAATATTAAAATGTTAATATATTTTTATCATCGTGAGTTATCTGACACAACAAAACTAAGGAAACAAACACCATCAAGCTTTTAATAGAAGCAAGCGATAATTGAAGAAATTGTATAGTTTTAGTGGGATTTGGATCTTCCTTAATGTCATTGTAGTTGTATTTTATGCAATAATAAAACTCAATCATTTAACTTGTTTTGAATAATCAAATTTACACCTGTCTAATAAAATGATTTTTTTAAGATTTTAAAATAATAAATCCTTGAATTAAAATTGTTTTAGAATGGCTGTTGTAAATTGCATTAGGACGAGTTTTAAAATTGTTAGAATCAAGGCCCTAATTTCAGCAAGGATGTCGCCAAATTAACCGTCTCGACAAGAAAAATTCGATGATATTAAAATTGGTTTGCTCTGAGTCTAATCAAACCCAGATCAAGACATTAAAGCACTTTTGAATGTATTGAATCATCAATTTAATGGTTGTTGGCATCATCTTTTGATGTCACAGGTGTAGAATGTACGCTCGAACGACTTTAGAGTATGATTCAGGCACATATGACTCTCTGAGGCTCAAATATACATTTTCGATCCTCTGGCACATGACCAAGATTGTTTTGATAGGCTTTGGCTATCGATGAGACGAAGTCCAACCGACAATACATTGATGAGACGATCGAGACATGATGAGTTTTGTTCGGCGCAACGATAACAAATCAGGCTCTAAATTGATCTCCTCATGAGGAATCGTCATTTGAATGACCCCGGATGGTGAACAGATAGCGTGAATGTGCCTCGAACGTTGTTTTCACTTAGGGAGGGTCTTTTGGGTCTTATCATGTGGCATGAATAACTAGAAAACAAGAAACATCCCCAAATAGGCTAGGTGTGACCAACCCACATAAGCGTGACCACACCCACATTGGGGGGTGACTACACCCAGAAGTGGTCACACCCCATTTGCGGTTTGGTTACTGTTTTCGTTACTTTTTCTCTTTTTTATTTTAAAAGGAGTCTTCAGCTTGTCTATCGTATTATATTTCCCTTATTCGAATAAGTCTCGCTCCCGAATCAGATTAATTATTCAAAAATGAGAGGAACTGAATAAGAAGAGGCATATGACAAAGTGTCAAACAAGAGAACAAATAAAACATGGAGAGCCTACATACGATAAACCTCAAAACGATATGTCAAGTATGTTCGCCCAAATAAGATCGGGCCAGTGGCGGCCGATCAGTCGAACTGATGGAAGTGGTCGATCGAATCAACGTAGGTGGCTGATCGACGAAGATAAGTCAGTTGATCTGATCCAGCCACTAGCGACCGATTGGAAGAACCTAAAGGAAGTGGTTGATCAGACTGGCATGGGTAGTTGATCGATGGCGCATGCAAAATGAGTGTTTTTGATGCAATTTTAAAATCATGTCATGCACAAAAATCATATAAATGTGAAAACATGCATAGCAAGTGGCCCAATCTATTTTGACCATGAAATCAGGCTCATCCTAGTGATCTCACGGGAAACTTAGGGTAGGTAAACAATGGAAAGGTGTGACAATGCTTTATTACATGCAGTAACAAGACCCACCTCTGTTTGCATGACACAAGGTGGGAAATCTCTTACAAGGAGGATTCTCCATGACCGAGAGGATGACGGCCAAAGAATGCCTTCGTCTTTTAGGTTGGTGGATTTTAAACGTCCATATGGATGAAATCACCGAAGCAAATGGAGGGATTTGTACAACCCCAACTTTTAGATTTTTGGGGTAAAAAGAAAAAGGGTAGGTTTTACTCTTTGGATTCATAGAGGAAAATGTAATGCACCTAATCTTATGGGGCTTCCTCTAAGCACACAAAATTCCTAGCCCAAATTCTCTAACATCGAGACCTAAGCGCTCTAAGAATAGAAAACATGAAAGTTTAGAGGAGTTTCCCTTTGCGAAGGTTGATTGAAGTGTTCTCTTTAGTTGTTTCAAGATTTAGCGTTGCTTTGACGAAGTTCGCTCCGTCATGAAGAAGCTCTCCTCCCTTCTTATAAGAGATGACGCTCTTTGTTCTCCTTTGAAGAGATGAAGCTCTCCTCTAAGATACAGTCTTCATGGCCTCCTTCTTGTAAAATCTTCTCCAAGAAGACTCCTTCACACGCTCAAGAGAATGGCAGAGGAAGATGAAAGAGAACTAGAAGAAGAGTGTTTTTGTGGAAAAAGAAGAGGAAAAGGAAGAGCAAGGGGTTGTAGTGAGCAAGACCTCCTCCTTACCTTTCTACCAAGCTACTCACCTTCAAGCCTCCAAGGAAAGGGTGGTTCTCCCTTTTCTAAAACCTTCCCCAAAAGGTCAAAAAGAGATATAATTACTAACATTTTGGCTCCCCAATGCAAATCCACACATTAGCCAAGAAAATTCCTAATTTCAGCTGCCAATGGAGGTTTTCCTAATGAAATTTGAGCCCAAAATTGTCATATGAAAGTAGGCTAGCAACTAGGTGCCACAACCTTGATGCTTAGGCATTAGGCCTAGCACCCTCATGTTAGGTCCCTCGTGTCTAAGCGTTGGGACTGGCGCCTCAACGCCGCGACCTTGACACCTACTTTTTGCTCTCCTATGCTACATTTTGGGCTATATCGGCGCCGAAGCGCTAGATCTAGGCGCCAAAAGGCTGGCTCCTACAATTTTTCTTCTTAGTTTTGAGCCTCGTGGGGGTTGTTCTGGATGCATAGGCTC